ATTTAATCGTTGTTAGCTTATTTAATGTTCACATATGAATTCTTAACGACTCTAATTATTATTAGTATTTTATTTGAGGTTAGTTTTTGTCGATATTTATTTTATGTTTGTGCTGATTTTTTATGAAATATTAGAATGGCGAGTTTTGACTTCATTTTGACATCATTTATTTTATTAATTTCGAATGTGAGGTTTATATGATATAATTTATTATTGCTTTATTTATTAATCATTTTTTTCAAGTAAAAAAAATAAAGTCACTTTTATTTTTTAGCGATTCGTTATGCCTTGTCACGGCGATACAATTGTGAAGATAAATCAGGTTCGGCAAACTTGCAACGATGATTCGAAATTGATTGCTATACGGGCTGTTGGTGTTTTTCCTGTTGAGAGCGACGATCGCGAGTTAGATCTGTCCTTATTTATTCCAATGAATGATGAAGAGAGAGATCCTAATTCACAGTCAATTTTTGAATTAAATGAGTATTACTGCGTCGGTGGAAAAGTTGTACTTGGAAGTTATAATGGGAATTTAAGATTGAAAGTTTGTATTTTTGGTTTTATTTGTTAAAATATTGAAATGTTTGTTGAATTTTTTTTTTAAAAAAATTTAGATGACTGTCGCATCATCAACCCACCTCGCAATCAAAAGAGACCTTGGTTCAAATAGGTGTCCATTAAAAGTTTCACTTGTTGGAGTTGCTCAAGATGCACCAAAGGAGATCAATAATGAAAACGCGATAATTAATGTATTAGTAAATGATTATGCCGGGCAAGTTTATAGTTTCACAATTAAAATCATTTTTCCATACTGTAATTCTCGGTTTAAACATTTAATGAATTCTTCTCGATTGAACGAGTCAGTGCTTTTTGTCGTAGGGCAAATGGAAATTATTGATAAGGATCTATACGTATATGCCGTTGATATCTCTTTTGTTGATATTAGTTCTGTGACAAAGAAGAAAGTTTCTGTTTTTGAAAATTCGCCAGCATTGTATAGATCAGTTCGTTCAAGGCTTTTAACCATACATCAGAGTATTAATGAAGATTCGTTTAATGTATCCGAGATAAAAAATTCTGATCTTGGTAAAGAAAAAAGTGAGCGTGAAGTTGATTTGATTACCGAAGATTCTCACGTAATGAAACGTACAAGGTTGGAAGATGAGAAAGACGATTATGTCGAGTATGATGAACATGACAATAAACATAAAAACGAAAGTGCAAATATGGGTAATGGGTACAAAGATAATATTGCTTACGATAGCAAGGGTTCCGGATGTAGTTCTGAAGGGTCCTCCAAGGGCAAGGATAAGGTGATTCAATCCGTAGTTCATAATACTAGACAACGTTCTGAACTGTTTAAAAATGTTAACAGTAATGATAAAGTGTAGAACTACGGGCTATGCTTTATTAATAGTTATATATTTGCTGATATGAGTTTTAGGTTCTTAAATATGTTTATATTTTTCTTTTAAGTCTTCTAAATTGTAAATAAATTGCTATTCTTATTCATAAGATGAATTCGTTTTAGTATTGTATAATAAATTTGGTTCGTTATTTTGCGATTTATAAAACCTCACATAAGTCGTCGTGAATATTTGTTTTGGTCTTAATTGTACGTTTCAGTAAAAAATTATTATTAATAATGTCTGAAAAGTTAATCACTGTTATTCCTGTAAGTAGAGTTGTTGGCGCAGGATACTTGGCGATGCTAATGGTGGCATGCCAACACAGGTATGGTGCAGAGGTGGCGTGTCAATTTTATTTAAATTTATTTTATATAAGTTAGCGTGTATGTGTAATATAACATACGCATGTAATAACTTTAAAGTAATCTTTGAAGAAGAGGTTTATTTAGTTCAATAATATTAATGGTAACTTATTGTAATAAGTCAAAAGTAAGAAATTTAATATTAGTTAATTGAATCCGAAAGTTCTTAATGTAGATACTAAAAAGTGGGATTAATTCCGAAAGTATAGGGCTATAATCACGTCATACAATGTCTTTGTCAGTGGTAAAACAAAAATTAGGTATATGAAGTTTTTAGGATCAGACAATAGTGTAATATAATGTGCGCTGTGCATCACGCACAACGTAGAAGATTCAGTTGGCATATATGTGGTATACTACTAGAATTACAACCGCACCACTAATTCTCCTTGTAAGACAAAATAGCGAATAACAATATCGGTGTGCTTATACAAGAAAGAAAATGAAATATGGCTTTGTATTTATTTAGAGATTCATTATAGAGTAACTATTTATATAAAATTTTTGATCAATATTTTAATGTTTCGTATAGTGTTAAGTGGCTGGCCATTTATCCAATCGTTTAGTTTTCTCAAAACATTTTTCAAGCCGGGTAAGTTCTTTCGCAAGATCTGGGTCTATAGCTGTATTAAGTTTTGATCGTTTAAAAGGTCGAAGCATCATAACATCTTGCAATCTCTGCACACGTGATAGCATAACATAAACACCCGATTTTATGTTACCATCATTTAGGTCAACAATTGCCTTTTCCAATGTAGCACCTTGACATTTGAATTCGGTGAATGCGAAAGCAGGAGTTACAGGTAATTGAGTTCTTTGAAATTCTTTCGTTACGTTCGAGCCATCTTCTATTTTATACGTATATTTACATTTTTGTTTAATAGGATATATCGGAACTTGATTTATTGGAAGATTATCATATCTACCCGGTGTACGATTCAGGAGTTCAATTATAATATATTTTGGAGGTTTGTCAATAATAATACCTTTTCCTTCATTAATGTCTATACTCTCAGTGATCACAGCCGTGTCATCATATACGATCCTGCGAAGAATGCCTTGTGTACCATTTGCCATACCATCACTTATACAAATATTAACAGTCAAAGCTAGCTTCATACCAATTGATAATGGCAATATTCCGCATAGTGCATTTGATCTTGTATCCGATACACCAAGAAACTTTCGCCTTATACTATCATAAAGAGGTTGATCCTTATAAGTGTCTTTAGCACATATATAATAGATTGGTTGGTTATGACATTTGGCATGTCTTATGGTGGCATCAAGGTTTATTTGAATCCGCAAATCATTCCTCCGAACCAAAAATACAGCCGTTTCCCATTCAGGTGAACTCAGGTCATCTTCTGTTATTATGCGGTTACAAAGAATATCACACTGAGCTGTTGTTAGTTTGTTATTTCGTAAGTTATTTAATATCGTAGCATATTCTAAATCATTTATCTGTCGCATCTGCTTTTTTAATATGATAGCATGTTTTACTAATAACCATAGTTCTCTTCCGCTGGTATTTATCACTGTTCGAGTTTCAGTAGAACTTGAAATTTGTTTTTGTATTGATTTTGCTACTTTCGAAAGTACTATTTTTTCAATCTTAGTAGAACGATACAATGGCGGATCAAGTACCGGTGGAAGCTGCATAAAGTCACCTGAGAAAATTATATTTAGACCTGCAAACGGTAAAGTATCATTCCAGTCAGGTTTTGCCTCCTTAACTCGGGCATGAAACTGCATCAGAAGTTTCTGACCTATCATAGAAATTTCATCTAAAATTAAATATTCTATTTTCATCCATTGATTTTGAAGTGATTTTGCAGATTTTCCTTTAGTAGAATGATAAATAAAACTATCATTATCACCAAATTTAAAACCGCACATCGAATGAAGAGTATAACCACCAACATTCGATGCGGCGAATCCGGTTGATGCACAAATAGCAAGTGAGTCTCTTTGGCCGATTCGGTCAAAATATTCGCAAATTGCTCTAATAACTTTAGTTTTTCCCGTACCTCCCGCACCTCCAAGATGAATCAATAGTTGCATCGGTTTATCAAGACTACCCGGATAATTGCGTTGGCGGTGATCACACACAAGCAAAAAAATTTTTTTCTGTTCATCATTAAGATCCCTCGAAATTTCTTGTAACAGATCTGCCTCATCCATTGTTCTTGCTGATAGAAACGACGTTGAATTTATTTGCTTTGAAGTATTTGCAAATTCCTGCATGTGGTTGTCTTTACAATTTTCACTCACTTCTATTTTTTTTCGGGATATTATAATCCCCTGCCATTTCTGAACTAAATCATCATCATCGTTATACGCAGGTCTGAACTGACTTCTTTCGTTACTGTAATTCGAAATGTTAATATTACTTCGCAATTTCTCGTTATTTATACCAAATCTGCCTTTAAGGTGTAAATGCAACATCGCTTCATTAACCAACTTCAAATTTTGAAACCCAGAGCGTATTATTGTACATGGTTCAAAGAAAGATTCATTTTTAATATTAGAGTCATCCTGATTACTCGGCATTTCAATATCATCCGCCGAAGTATCATATCCTACCACTGATCTTTCTATCCGTTGAAGTTTTAAGATGTCCAAGTTTTTACTAGCCATTTGACGTAATTGTTTGTCTAAAATTGTCTCTTCTCTACACCTATGTAAAAGTTCAATATTATTTATAATCGACCGTAATCGCATAGATAGTTTTGAACTTTGTAAAAAAGCATTACATGCTTCACTCCATGAATTATAGTCTTCTAATAAATCATTCGTAGAGGTCCATGGCTTAAAAAGCATTAATATGCAGAGTCCATATCGCTCCGCATTTTCAAGATCATCCTTACGCGGAATACCTTTTCCACATAACACTGGTATCCGTTCATTTCCACAAGTCCAGTGAATTTGTATATGCGTGGAACATTGCGGGTGTTCAATTCTACAATCACGTACTTCACCATTTTCTTGTTCGCCACCTAAAAAGCAAAATCGATCAACTCTTGTCGTTCTTCCTTCCCGATTTGTTTGTCTACTCAATTTATCTAATTCCTTGTTATTAATTTTTATTTTATGTATAGTCGCTGCATAGTCATAAAGACACATATTTTCCAGTTGTTTGCCACGATATACATAGTCGATTCGTAAATTCACTGCAGTTATTTTTTCACCGGAGTTTGCTATCTTGAACATTTCATCATCCACATCACAATAATTTTCAGAATCTTGCTCCAGGTCACTACCATTACCGTCATAACTATCATCAGAATTACCCGAAACTTTTAATTCAGTAAAATTTTCCTTAATATAAGATTGTTCAGCCAAATACATCTCGAAAGTATTAAGGTAAATCAAAACAAATTTATTTGGCGTATAGTGGTCACCCAAACCCAAAAGATACGCTCCTATCTGAGGTCCTGTTAGTTCCGCTCGCCCTGCAATCTTATTAAGACATAATGTAACTAGTCGTTGTGATCTTTTTATAAAATTTCCCGTTGTTTCACCTGTCGTTTTCACAAGAAATTTATTTAGCGTCATTGCACATATCAGAAATGAGCTATGAGTACTTGAGTCAGACTTAGTGATATAGTCTGTAATGTAGTGAATATATGCCAAGGCCAACTTGGTGGTTGCGATAAATCTGATATCATTGTTACCGCGACAGCTAGAAGTCACGTACGGGTTATGATTATTTATATAAGCATTAAGGCGTTGGAGAGTAATTATCCCAAGCTCGGGATAGATTTTTCCGGGTGCTTCAACCAGCACACGCGGAAAATCAAAACGACAGTCAGACATTCTACCACGGTTGTATTTCTTGCATGTCCCGGTACACCTGTGAAATAATGTTCGTTTAGCGATCGCAAGAACGTCAAGGCGAAATTTTTCCTCAAAATCAGGTAATTGCGGATCCGGAATAGGTAAAAATGATGGATGCATCCTTCTCTCCAAATTTGTTTTTGGGTTCATATATTCTGCCCATAACATTTCATCAGTCAGACACTGGCCATCGGGAAAAAGGTAGCTGATATCTTCTTTAACGATTTCATTCACATAGTTCATCAACCGTTCTCTAAATTCCTCGTCATTACGTAGTCGTTCCCGCAGTTCAACCGGATTTAGAGCCCCCTCAAGCCAGATTAACATATGGCAGTGAGGTGTGCCTCGATCCTGATATTCGACTACCCCATAGTAATTTTTTACCTCACCGAACACACCACCTCCCGGTCTCTTATAACCTATTATAAATTTAATTATATTTTTCATAACAACATTGAAGTACTTCGCTACTGCAGTCGGGTCAAGATGGGCCAATCTTGCCCTTTCCGTTGCTGTTGGATAATCTTCAGGAATTAAAGAATCAACATCAACTTCAGCTCCCGCATACAGCATCACAATCGGGCTGTGAAGATCAGCTGGATTAACAGTTACAAATAAAGAAGGCAAACCATCTCGTATAGTTAGAGCACGTAGTTCATTACGAAGATGATTTCGAGACTGTTGCGAACCCATTATTTTTCCTCCAACAACATTAACATTACTTAGTAACTCGAGAATGGCAAGATTCGTTATTGGCTGTTTGTCATATTCTTGTTCAAG